GAGGAGAGAGGCACATGCTCTCGAAAGACTCACGTTTCCAGAAGTGTCTTTTGCTGAAGCCCCATCAGTGTGGGGAGGGAGCATTCATAGGGTTTCTTTCACACTCCTTTAAGATTACTGGAACACATTTAGACAGACACAAATCCCCGAACTCCCAATGTTCTGTAGCCTGCCATGAGGGCAATATTGACCAGAGAGGATGCTGCAACTTCCAGTACTATTTTTCTGTTGAACCATGCACAGAATTGTGCCTAAGGCCATTTTTCCCTACTTGACAAACATAAAACCACAACTTCAGTGTTGGATTGCTAAATGTAGGGGCTGAGGCAATGCAAGAGCCCTTGGGAGGAAAATATGGGGAGAGTGACTGCAAACTAGAAATGGAAATGAGTCATCTTGAATTCATTTGTAAAAGCAGCGCCCGAGAATGATTTCAGTTAGGGACCGAAGGGGAGGCAGGTGGAGCTGCAGAGAAGCCAGGCAGCAAGGCGTCCTAAAGAGCCAGTGTGGTGCAGAGGGAGGACGAGGACTAGGCTGACCTGGATTCAAATCCCTGCTCAGCCATGGATTTCCCTGCGTGCCCTTGGCACTGGAGGTTTCTTGCTTTCTACATCTGCAGCATTCGAATGGGCTTTTCATTCAAAAGAGGCTCCAAGAGCATCTGATACAACAACATAATACTAATAATACTGTTCCTACTTTTGGGCTTTCCATACAGAAGACGCAACACAAAAGGAAAAGGGATTGGGAGGGGAGAGGAAAAAGCAAAGGCACCTGGCAGGAGGGGATGAAACAAGCTGCCCGAAGCTTTTCCTGCTCTGACTGCTGCGTTCTTCCTTGCCTGAATGTTTATCCTGGGAGAGAATGGAGAGCAGCCCCCAGCGGCCCTCCCTTCTCTTGCTCCTCATATCCTCATCCTCGCCACCGCTTGCTTGCTTGCTTGGCAGGCGGAGCACGAGGGAGCAAGGAGGCGTGCTACTTACCGCCCTTCCTCCTCCTCGCCACCATTTCCTGGGCCCGCGAGAGAGGCAGCTGTACCAGCGAGTCACATTTGGGAAGAGGAGGAGCCATGAGAGGGCCCGGGCCGGGCGTGTGCCTCTCTTCCACTCGGCCTCTTGGCCCTGTTCCTTGTCCCCTGCTGCAAGGGTGGAATCGCATCCCATGCGCAAGCTTAGGGGGCTGCCTCACTGCAGTTCTTGAAGCCCCTGTGCCTCCGGGAGTCAGTGCATCACACTGAGAACTGAGCAGCTTGTCCAAGCAAGACGCAAAAGACCTCCTCTCAAACATTCTGGGAGGCACCCCTGAACTGCTCATTCCATTTCTGGAGGTCAAGGCAGACAGACATCTTCATCAGCAAAATGACACATACTGTTCAAACAGGATATGCTTGACTTTTATCACCTCAGGGCCTGCTGTTAACTGACATACTACAGGAAAAGAATATTGTGGCAAGTTTCCTACTTGAAGCATATTTCCAAAAAGGTTCCAAGGACAGTGCTACCTGATTCCCCACAGGATCCTACCTTCTGTTTGCTCGGGATTGCAGGCCTGCAATGCAATCCTATGCATGTACTGTATTTGATGCAGCTTACTGCCTTGTAACTGTTTGGGATGGGCTGTAACCCTACACACACCTCTGAGCAATTACCTCCCATTGCTTTGTATAAGGCAGATGCTGGCCGATGGGTCAGTGAATGCCTTCTGAATGGGAGGTAATGGCTTAGGTCCTTGATGGTTTCCTGGCAGTGGAGAATGAATCTCAACACCCTTGGAGCTTATCCTTGCAAACTCTGCTTTCTCATCTCTGAGAAACAAAACATTCTCACCCTTTCCCCCAATTGTACAGGTTCACAGGGCAGATTTGCATAGCTCTCCCAAGGAACAGTCAGAGCTTCCCGCTTTAAAAGGCAGGAGAGAAACCATCTGGTACATAGCTGCTATTTATTTTTTATATTTAGACTCTTTCAGCTTAATAATTAAAATCCACACAATGGTATGATTAGAGAGAACTTACTGTGCACGGGGAGCTGGTCAGTCTTTTCTAGAATATCTGATAGTGGATGACATGGATCAAGTTTCAAGTGAAGGGTGAGGGATGTGTGGTTTTCCAGATGTTTTTAGACAACAGCAGGCAGAGTTAACTCATTGCTCTTCAGAAGTTGTTGGACTGCATCTAGCATCATTCCTTATTGCTGTCAGGACTGGCGCCAAGGGTAGTCATGGTTGGGCATCGGCTGAAGGATCCCACTCCAGGAGGGGCCCACCAAAAACAATGAGCTTTACTTCTAGGTCCACCTGTGTGGGTTGCGCCACTAAAAGGACCATTTCAAAGAACGCAGAAGAGGGTTTTTGGCACTCCGGCAGGTGTGTCAGCGCAACTGCTAACAGCCCACAGCTGCCTCTGCTTAAAGGAGCAGGAAATGGGCAGAGAGATTGATGCGGCTTTACACATGGCTTGCAGGCGCTTTGTGCGCTGCTCCAACTTGCCCAGCATTTGCCAGCCTCTCTCGCTGGAAGCGTTTTTGGCAACCCAGCCAGCAGGATGGGGGAAAGCAAGTAAAATGTGCAATAAATATGTGGAATCTGGTGCCCCATGATGAGAGAATGGCTGCTCCCATGGATGGCTTTTCAAAGGGGATGGGCAAATTGATGGAGGAGTCGGTCTGTCCGTGGCTACTCACCACAATGAATGCCATTTCAGTGTTCAGCCGTCATATGAATACTTGTTACAGGGGAGCAACTTCTGGAGGGGGCTCCTGTCTTTAAGTCACGATTTGGGCTCCCTCCAGGCATCCGGCTGGTCGCTGTTGGAAAGCAGCGTGTTGTTGGACTGGATGGCCCTTTGGTCTGGCCCAGGAAAGCTCTTCTGGACTTCTCACACCCTAGCACAAGAGTGAGGAACATAGAGCCTTTGAGATGTGGCTCTCATCAGCCCTAGGCAGCACAGCCAGCGATGAGAGTCCATGGGAGTTGTAATCAACATCACAAGCAGGGCCTCCATTCCCAAATGTGAGCACTTTTGCCAACCCTTGAGTAATTTGCCTGGACATTTTAAATGCCCTCTGAGGGCACCTGCATGCAGACTAATCTCCGTCCCAGTCGGCAATCTGCCTGCTCCACTTGCCCATCTTAAACTCTCTGTAACCCCCCTCCCCCATTAAACCCAGAATTAGAATAACCTAACAAAATCACAGCGGGAGGGGGGGTTCCATGCATTCAAAACGGCTTGGTGGCGCTGCACAGCAGAAGCAGAGCTGTTCTGAAAAGGCAGAGCAGGAAGTGCTTAGCGATGTATGGAACACATGCTAATGTTTAAGATGGCCTGATCTAATGCGTGTTTCCTGCAGGGCAGCCCCGTACCTGGCCTCCCCAGGCTGACTCTCCAGGTGCTACACAAATGGCAGACTGACAATGTTTCTTTCTATACTTGTGAAGGATGCCCTTGTATTTTCAATACTGTTTTTGACCCATGGACAAAACGTTTAATTTGGCTTGGACATAGAATTCTAATGCATTACTCAAAGTTCTTCCGGGGTGATCTGAGGCAGTTTTAGCAAGCCTCAATCCTGCAATGTTTGCAATATCCCTGGAAAAGGTGAAGAAGTGGAAGTTAAGGGTGCTCCTAGGCTTGTGAAAAACTGATTTCTCCTATCACTCAGTAAACAGTTGGAAGGAGGATTTTCTAGTTTAGCCTAAACAATAAAGACTCTCTTATCTTAGAGACAAACAGGGACTGCAAACAGGAGCTTTAATGAAACAAAGCAGGTATGCTTTTTCCTTGTCTCTTTTACATTGGGTATTTTGGTGAGCAGCATATTTATCATATGTTGCTTTACACATTATTTTCTGAAGCACACAAGCAACAAACTGAAAAACAGGCAAAGAATATCTGGAATTCTCATGGACCAGCATAGCTTTGCATTTCTTTGTAGCATGCTTCTGAAAATACTGCATTTAGTTATGCCAGAATTTTTCAAAACAGGAAGTTATACTACTTGAAGTTGGTGTTTGCACCATCCTCTCTGAACACCAAGTAATAATGTATGACCTGAACTGACTTTTTAACCTAGTATACCACCTACAATTTATCTCTGGCTTTAATATAACTGTAATCTTTCTCTGCAATTTGCTCCACGCCACCTCAGGAAGCTGAGGGTTTTGTTCAAGGCAAAAGGTAGTGCTTGGCTGCCTCCAGTTTCCAAAATGGGAGATCAGCCATTGCTTCTCTTTCCCAAAATACACTGGTAGGTGCAATCCGATCCCTTGAACACCTACTACTGATTGAATTTGTCTGCAAACTTCCAGTTTAGAGGCTGGGTCCCTTGAGAACTTGGGTCTGGACACCTAGTCAACATTTTGGAGTTTGATTTATACTCGCACCTTCTAATCAGGAAATGGTACTCAAACAACAGTAACAGCCAAAACCGAACATTAAAAAAATTAAAGGAGTCATAAAACAAGTGCATTCAAAACCCTTCTCTTTCTCAAAGAAAAAGAACATTTCTTCCCCTTTTTGTACTTTCTAGCTGACAAACGATTCTGCAGAACAGGAAAGCTTGCTCAAGGTTGTGAAATGTGGGTTCTTAATAAAGTTGTGGCTTGTTTAAACCGACATAAGCCGATTTTTATATATTTATTCAAAGAAGAGCAGGGTACAAGTTACTACGATAAATTAAAGAGGGGACCGTGCAGCACTACCACTTCGGGGGGAAAGAAGTCCCACTACGCTCAGCGAAAGGTCCCCCCCCCCCCCCCGGGGGGCTACAAACCCCCCCCCCCCTTTAAGGGCTCTGGCGTTGTCATTCATCCCTCGCACGCGGGGCGCTTCCCCCTCATTGGCCGTTGCTCGCCCTTCGCATCACACCATCCCTCCGCAGGTTATAACTCCGCCGAACGGGAGGGGTAGAAAATAGTCCAGAGGCCGCGCCTACCAAGGAATATTAAAACGGAGTGGTGAAGGGCGGGGCAAAGGACGGCGGAGGGATCTGCAGGGCGGTGGTGCGGCTCTCAGAACTACCTTGACGCCGTGCCGGCTGGAGCGGCCGGTCAGAGAGGTGGAGACTCTCCGAAGGGACTGACTTCAGTAGCCGGGCAGGTAAGGATGGTGAAGCAGCCGGGCGGGGCGCTTCTTCTGGGTGCGCCTCTGGCGGATCCTTGCCCTTCTCGGCTGCAGTCCCCGCGCTGTAGCGCGGCGAGGAACGCCGCCTCGCTGATGCTCTCCCCTCCCTCATGACGCCGCTCCGCATCTCCGCCCGGATTTGTTTCCTCTGCGGCTCTTCGGGAGCCTCGCACAGAAAGGCCTACAACTCCCAGCATGCTGCAGCGCGCCGGGTCCTCCCGTAGGCCTCCCCTCCCGTCTGAACGCGCGTGGGCCGCGTTCTCAGCCTCATGGCTCTTTCTGGTCGCTGCGCCGCGGGCGATTAGCGAGAGCCGCCCCGCCATCAAGCCCTGAAATTAATTAACGACGGAGGAAATGGCTGTGAAGCCTGAGGGAGGGGAGGCCCTCATTCATGGGCGCCCGTGGCGCGAGGCGGCGGCGTCTCTCCCCCCCCCCCCCCTTCCCCCCGAAGCTGCCGGCACCCTGGGCTTGGGCCTGCGGGGTGTTGAGTAACGGCCGGGCACGTGGCCCTTTGTTCGGACGAACCCCCAGGAAGTGACGGGCGCGCCGAAAAGTGCCTCGGCGGAGCCCTTCCCCCCGCCTCCGCCGTCTCCTTGGAAACGGGCCCGGGGCGGCCAGAATCGCGTGCGGGGGGGGGGAGTAGCGTGCCGCGTGCACGCGGAGGGGCTTGATGCTGCGCGCACGAGGGACGCATGGCTTCCTCCGCTCAGCCCTCTTCCTCCCCCCGGCTGCCTCGCTCTGCTCCCCCTCGCCGACATCGGAAAGCCTTCCCTGTTCCACCCCGAGAAGCGAAGGGGTGTGAGTGGAGGTGCAGGAGAAGGAACGGCCTGGGAAGGGGCTGTATCGGGTTGCACTCCGTGACATTTATCTTACCCATAAAACTGCCCCTTATCAGGTTGCAAAGCAGTGGCAATCAGAGCCTTTGATTGCTCGTCCTTAATTACCATATTTGCACGCATCATTTGAGCCTGCTTGACCTTCAGAGGCAGGGAGTAATATAAAAATGGAGCTGCCACGAGGCTTTTTTTTTTTTTTTTGCTGGACTCTCAGTCCATAGATTCAAGTGGAGTCAGAGGAGAAAGTCATCCAGTGATCTCTCAGGCAATTTAGCAAGGGAGAAGGTACTTTCCCTCTTTTGTCTCTCCATCAGCCTATGCAGACATATTTAAGTGGATGTAAGCCCTGCTGGTTTACTGCAGTGCTTACTCACACGCAAGGAACCAAGTGTACGGTTTTGTAGCCTTATTTTGATTTGTTCAAGTAGGAATGCCTTTCCCAAATGTATTTTTAAACATCAGCGTCCTCTTGATATATATGCTTGACAAGGCATGACTGTTCCTTGAGAACATCAGACAACCATGATGTGCCGTTTTCCTGGGGTGACCTTGGCTACTGCAGCTGTTTTGTGCAGAGCGAAAGTTTCATGCTTGGAGTAGGAACAAACAGATCCCACCATTGCAGTTGCCTCCACCTTTTGCTGCTAGCAGGACAATATTGGGGCGGTCTTTGGAAGAGGCACAATGAATGAAGCTTTAACATATCCTTTTTGAACTGGAAATAGGTTTCACCTTGCTGACTGTTGAGCTAGGGTTTCTGGAGCTAAGCCAAGTACTTCAAGAAGTAAATGAGTTCTTAATGAAAGGCAAAAGTGTGCAGAACTAAAAATAATTCCATAATGGGCACACAACTTTTAGGGAATTTGTACCACATAGATAAGTGTGACTCGGTCAACAGGCTTTGTAACATTTCTGTTATCCTATATTAGTGCTGTATAGAAGCAGTGTGTAAATTCACATTCCTGTGTTGCTTTTGCCAAACTGTTCCAGAAGCTTCTGAGAATAGTGCCTGTGATCTTGGATGCTTACTTGCCTATGGTAACAAAAAACTAAGCTAACCTGCTGTTAGATCTAAAAGAGATAGCATGGGATGAGCTGAGGTGGCTGTGTGTTGTGTGCTACCCCACGTAGATCTATGGAGAGAGGGGAATATGAATAACTTGCTTTAAAGAAACTGGTTATACAAATATAATTGCTACCAGCAGCCATAAAGTTTTCCAGTGAAACCTTCCCTTCCAGTGGATTCTCTGGTATTCAGAGAACGTGCTGGAAGGGTTCTTACCATGCCAGGTAGAGGACTCAGACCTTTCCCCCAAATTCACTGGAATATGTAGATAATTTGAGGAGCAAGTTGGTACTGCTTCAAAGCTAGATCTGGAGATGCTCCGAATCAGCCTGTATCACCACCTCTAATGTGCCCCCAAATGGGGGAGGAGTTATCGATGGCCTGAAATGTTTCCTTCCTGATGTGATGTAATTTCCAGTAACTGAAATAAGGAAATGACTGAGCAAATGACAAATTGAGGATAGCTTCTAAGTGACTGCCTGTTGCAGCTTTGTCTGCTAGAATAAAATCAAGTCTTGTAGCTAGTTAAAGATCAACATAGTAGCATAGCTTTGCTTTTGTTTGTAACACCCTTGTGTTCTAAAAGATTAAAATGTTTCTTTCTGTGGGATTCTTTCTTCAGAATTGAACATGTTCTGTATCCTACAGTGCCCATATTTAACATGTCAAAGCTTTCCCGTGACACTGATTGCATTGTGTTGTCATGTGGAAACTTGTTCAAGGTGGATGGTTGTGAAGAAGAGGCTTGGCAGCCTGAAGACTTTAAATTGCTCGTCCTGTATTTGAAACTTCTGTACGTTGCCTGCAGATCAACTGCTGGTTAAACATCTGTAGTTGGTGCAAGCTTTTTCAATTGATGAGGCAGGAAATATCTCAGCTTGTTCACATTCATGCAGGTGAAAGCTATTAGTGGCTGCTAGTCCTGATGGCTGTATGCTGCCTCCATTAGGAGAGGCTGCCTCCCTCTGCACAGGCTGCTGGGGAACCGGGCAGGAGGATACTATTGCACCCGGGTCCTACATGTGGGATCCTGTGGGCAGCGGCTTGGCCACTGCTTTTGAAAAATAGCGCCAGGTTTCCTTAAAATGACTCATTTGAGTTTAAGGATGCATTCTTAGGTATTAACTGTAATGCTTATACACTCAATAGTGGGAATTCTGTAAACAGAATGTTGCCCTATCTGTTCTTTTTGAAATGCATCAAGTACTTCTGTAAATCACTGTTAACAGATACCTTGCAGAATGAATAGCAAGACACAGATTGGGTTTTTAATCCAGTTTGTTACAGCTTTTTATGCAGTTCTGTCCCGGAATATCATAGTTTGCATACTGTGTGTGTTTATATAACTTCTAGAGTAGTACATTTGGGGCTGTATGCATTTGGAAATCTGAAACACTGAATGCTGAGTCTGCTTTGTAGAAAATTGCATATCTGCTCCACTGAAATTCTACAGAGTTACACAAACTTTAGTAGAATGTTTTGAAAGATTCATGCTTGAATCTTGTCCTGCCAATTGTAACTGCACCAAAAGAAAGTAGGAAAATAGAGATGTTTCCTTCAGACATGTGCAGAACTCAAGGTTTTCCATGATGCCTTTGCCTGCTGCAGGATGGTGTGATGGCTGGCACGTAGGATTCAGATGAGACTGTAGTAGCAAGCTCTGCCCGCTACTGTCTGTGCGCGCAGTAAAGCCTCAGGCAAAAAATGCAGCCGACAAAGGCATAACCGAAATGTCTTTAAATTTAGCAGAGAGCTTGTGTCTATATATTATTCATTTGAAAGTGAGTCAGCATCTTCAGTGAGGTGGGACCAAGAGCTGCTTCTGTGCATCAGCCTATTGGAAGAGAAGGGATGGCCATGGGAGGTGGGTAAGAATGCTGCTTCCATTAGACTGCATCTGAATGAGCGAGGGAAACTGCACGTACCTCAGAGGTCCTGACCAGAAAGGGAGGAGCTTCTTAGTCCAATCTGTTAAAGAGCCAGTGCAAAGCCAAAAATAGCTTAGAATAATCATGCCGTAGAAATTGAGCTGGTTCTGTTATTTAAGTGCAGTTAACGAAGCACAGAAGTAGTATTCCACTTCTGTACTGCTCCCACAGTCCACAGGACTCTGGTCAGTTTACCTTTCCAACAATTAAAAGCAGGTATACATTTCCAAATACACTGGGATTCCAGATACATTTTACAGTAATACCATGCATTACTTGTTTCTCAACACCATTAAGGCTGAGAGAAAATTAGCTAGTCAGATTTATTTGTTCATGTAAGCAACTATTAAAAGCTATATTTAGGTAATTATGAAGTACCAATCTCTGGCTTAGTTCACTAACATACGAAACTTGATTATCAGTACAATACTAGAAAAAGGGAAAATGCTACATAGTTTCATTGCTAGAACACTATGTGGTACAAAGGACACAGTCCTGTGATCTTCAGACATCGTCTGGGGTGTCATTAGATTTTTCAGAGTTGCAGCACTGAATTACTCCCAACTCCTGCCCCCCCCCCCCACACTTGCAGACAGTGCTGGCTGGCCCTCTTAGGGTGGAAATGAGGAGGAAAGGGGGTGCCCGCCTATGCCAGTTTTTATTTGTGCCTTACCCCCGCCCCCCATTGGGACAAGGTGTGGAGGCAGAGGAGATGGCCACTACTCCAGACACTGGATGATTGTGAGCATCCATCTTCAGAGGCTTATGTGCACTGCCGGTGGAAGAGATGGGAGTGTATCCTTAAATTATTTTATTTCTGTGCCACCCAGTGGCTAGCAATAGTTCCCACAATGCAATAAAATGCAACAGAGTGTAGGAGGTGGCTTTAAAGGTGGCTGTCATGCAGGTAAGTTGTAGAGACTTAAGTTAGCATACAATGTATGCTGCAGCATACAATGCATTCTCAACTTTCAAAGAGGCTTGGATTGTGATTTGCTGACTTTCTAATTAACATTATTTGTGCATCGTAATCTTGGAGACTGCACAGTTCCGGTTAGAGTAGGTAAATCCTTAGGCAGGAGTACATCTTACATTGCTGTGGTAGCAGCCAGCTATATTTACTGCAGCGCTAATAATATAGCCAGTAAAATAGTGAAGATTTCTGGGACAGATAAATTTGGATCCCTTACACCATGAAAACTGTTGATTGAACTACTTGTGATATTTGCACCATTATTTCCAAGATTGATAGTATAAGTGGATTGTTTGAGCCTGTTTATTCTAGCTTACTGGCCTTTTTTAAACTTCCATATGATTAATCCATAGTGTTTGCTTGGCAGATGAGTGTAGTTAAATACTGGTTAAATAAGTATCTGCAGTAATATGTGTATCTCACTAACGTATAGCCTGATGTTAAGAGTAGTCTACAGCCTATACCAAACTAATTTCCTGGGATAAGGATCAACTACCTCTCAGGTTTGTTCCTCCTTAGCCTAATATGTGTTTGCACTGCTGTGCACATTTGCAGTTTACACACACACACACACACACACACACACACACACACGAGTAGTGCGTAGACTTTTGTTGCTGGGAAAGGCTTCAGCTTGCTAATTCCCTAGCATCTTCTGCATGGCTAGTTTCCTGTAATGTATGAATTGGGAGACATATTTCACAGTTCTCTGCTGCAGGAATGAGTAGGCTGAAAGGCTTGCTGAAGCAAGCCCTGCACCTGGCGTGATACCTAATCCCCTTGCTGCTCTCATAGATCAAGATGTGACATGAGCAGTGTGATTTCACGGGGAAAAGGTTGTTGGGTGAAACTTTTTATTGTAATCAAGCAATGGGTGTAAGGGGCATCCCTGTGAGGGCACCACTTCAATTATGGTAAATTGTAATCCGCATTCCTATCACTTGGTCTTAATACCACCAAAGGAAGATGCATAAGGATAGCAGGAATGAGTCTCTAATGAGCTAGGGAGGGAGGCATCAGTCTGTTCTTCTAAAAGACCCCTGGCTTTATATGTTACTTAATTGGTTTGTTCTGTTGTTTTAGATACCGACTCTCAGCAGCCATGTCTAAGCAACATGATGCTTTCATCCAGACCCAGCAGCTGCATGCTGCCATGGCAGACACATTCCTGGAGCACTTGTGCCGCCTGGACATCGACTCTGCCCCAATCACTGCAAGAAACACCGGTATTATTTGCACAATCGGTAAGTGAAATTGAGTCACAAGGTTAATCAAAAGTGAAGACAATGGTAATGAGCAGACCAGGAGTTGGAAGTATTCGATCTTGTGCTAGAGCATCATTGCCTTTTCTCTGTACAAGATTAAAAGCAAAAAGATTGTTAAACTAGTCAGATACCACAAGCTCATGCCTGCTACTGGTATTCTCACTTACAGTTAGCCAAAGTGCTTTCCTAGTAATTTGTTCTTTTGGCTGCTGTGACTTTGTTTCCATCACTTCCTAATTAGAAGCTTTCTGCCTTAAGGGATGATACATATAATCTTGGTACACCAACATGGTTGCAAAGGGATACTAACCGGAAAGTTAAATGCTTTCTAATTTGTCCTTGTTTTGTAGAACTTTCAGTTTACAGTTTGAGTGTACTCCTGAACTGAACCTGGATGCCCAGTTTTTGACAGGTTGCACAAACAAAGCTAGGACCCCAGCTGTGCCCATTCCTTGATCTGGCAACAGTCGTGTGTGCCTTCATTAGATTCTGTTTGGACGGCTGTAGCACACTGTGTGTGGGGTATCTTTTGAAAATTGTTGGAAATGGCAGCTGGTACAGAATGCAGTGTAAGTTAACTGGTGCTGGTTAAAGGGAACACATGATTTCCTTCTTAGAACAACTGTACTGGCTATTGGTCTGTTTCTAAGAACAATTCAAAGAGCTGGGTATGACCTGTATAGCCCTAAACTACTGGTACCAGACTTTCCCACAGGGGCCTGTTTTTTTACGATTTTAGAGGGCGGCCTTTCTTTGTACCACTACCTTTGGTAGAGGACATGCTGCCTTTTCAGTGGCCGCTCCTAGGCTCTGGAGCGCTTTGCTGAGGGGTGGTGCAAGTTTTAATTAATACTTTATTTCTGATTCTGTTGTTGGTAGCACTAAGTGCCAGTCTTTCATAGGAAAGTGGGATAAATATAATAGATATTGCAGGAAACATTGCCATCCAGACAGGAATTATGCACATATTGCTCTGACAGCACTTCACTATTACCTAAAACTGCTTCCATTTTCAGTGGTGGGAGTTGCAAGCCACTGTTAAGCATGTCCTTAATACTTGCAGTACAGAGATAACTTGATGCATTTTACCTGTCTTAGTATTTATTGGTTTGGGCATGAAATTAGTCTGCATGTCCTCCAGTGGAATAATGCTTTTTTCTTCACAAGGGAAACTAAAAACTGATCTCAGTAGCATCTGTCTTGCCTGTCAAGCTGATCGAATAAGGCTTAACAAACTGGCATCTGCTAATAAAATTTTGTCTTAATCTTTAGGCCCGGCCTCTCGGTCAGTGGAAATGCTGAAAGAAATGATTAAATCTGGCATGAATATTGCCCGTCTCAACTTCTCTCATGGAACACATGAGGTAAGAACAGACTGGAGGATAAGCATTGACCCAATTTTACCAGGAGCTTCTTTATTAGTGCCACCACTTATTGTACATACTACATTTGAGCTCTAGTGCTAAAGCGTGCTTCTCATTGATCCATTTTGATTTAAAAAAATAAAAAATCAGGCACCCCAGTATAGGTACCGCCCTAATGTGTTAGTCATCCCCCCATCTCCCTTCCCAACCAAATAGATGTAGTGCCACCTTCAGGGTGGTTTCTGCTGAGTGTGGGCCAGACAGTGAGAGGACATACGCTACCCTCTTGGTTTGGTCAGCTTGTTGGCTCTGATGCCAGGCTCTGGGACAAATCAAGTTATGTCTGCTCCCTTCTGGTTCTGCCTGTTCAACAGTGTTTTTCTTAGAACCAGACATGGTCTGATTTTCACCCGCCTCCTGATTTATTTCATGCCATGCTAACCTTGGCATTTCAAATAAGAATTCTACCCCACCTCTTCCAGTTCAGATTCAGATTCTGAGGTAACCACTTTGGAATGCTATAATTTGTAAGAAGCAGGCCCAGTTTTCATTTCTAAAGGGTAAAATTTCAATCTCTGAATATGATTAGAATTTTTATTATGAAAGCTCTGACTTGGCCCAGCCTTCCAATTTTATTGTCTTCCCATTGGGTTCCATCATGGAACAGCTGCATTCCTGGAGACTTTGTAAAATAGTAGAGATCAAAATCCTTAGTATTTTAATAAACAACCAGAACTCTCTGTACTTTGATTATAGAATGAGAAACATAATGCTAGAAGAGCATTTTGACCACCTTGAAATACAGAACTGTCTGCATGCGAGCTTTGGGTGTGCATTAGTGAATGTCAGACTGGAGCTCAAAAAACTCTGCTGCCATTAGTGTACAGAGTGTCCACTTCAGTACCTAACTGAAAGTTCACCAGCTAAAGGTCACTCCACTGTTACTAGATACTGCTGATGCATGCCTGACTTAAAAACAAGATCTTGAAGCATGTTCACCCTTGTAGCTACAAGCATCTCCTCCTATTAGTAGTTAAACTTTTTGTGCTGAATTGAATGGGATCTAATCAGTTCTGATGCCAGTTCAGTTAATTGCTCTCTTTTTCACTAAGAAGTTTTGAGCAGCAAACTGATACCAAGGAGGGGTAACTAACTGCCTCCTTGCAAAATCATATTTATAAGCCAAGTCACTGAAATGGAGGGTTTCCAAGTAAGGTTTGAGAATAATGTTGGTAGCACTGAGCTTCTGAAATGCCAGGATAAGGTCACAAGAATTGCAAGTAACTAGTAGAAGAGCGCAGCTTCCCGTCTATAAATAAAGCAGCCTTCTCACTATTACTACTGGGCTGGAAGGCTCCCATTCCCAACTACAACTTTACTTAAAGGCCACTGAAATGCCTTTGGGCTAGCTGATACTAGCTTTGGGAAAGGTCAAGCTGCAATCCTGAGTGCAATTTACTAAGCTTCATCTTAGCTTGCAAAATGTTCTGGCCCTTTCCGTCTGTCTTCTTTTAAAAGCTGCTTCATATTGAAGTGAGCATAAAAGTTCTGTGGCAGTGTTAAGCTTGCTGGCCGTTGCAGGTTCTTGATAGTTCTAATATGAAAAAAATGCAATAACTATAGAATTGCATTTTTACATATTCTCTACCTATTAAAAATTTCACTGGAATCTTATTGTACAGTTTAGCTTTGGAGATACTGTGTTAATGTAGATTAATACTGCTCTATAGTATGGCGATCAAATGATTTTTTTTACTTCCCATCTTTCTCACCTTAGAAACTTCTCTTGTGGTATTGACTTTTAAATAAAAGACCATATCTAAGGTTAAGCTAGTAAAACTGAATTTATTGGTTACCAAAAGAATGGCTAGACTTATTATTATTATTATTATTATTATTATTATTATTATTATTAGAACATTTCTATGCCGCCCCTTGCTGGTGCATAACTTACTGTTTTGTGGAAATAACCTGTTTTTCCAGTTTCATCCCTGTGACCTCAGTCTCCTATGCTACACTGTGCTGCCCCTGTTTTTAATAGCTTAAACCTTTTGTAACTAACTTCCAGAGAAGTAACAGTTGGAACAGATCAGTGAAGAATCTTGTGGCACCTTAGAAACAACAAAGTCCTGTGACATACCTTAAATCTGTTAGACTTTAAAGTTCCACAAGTCTCTGTAACCTTGATTGTAAACTTTGCCTTCCTTTTACTTCTCTAATATAAATGAACAGTTCTTGTAGGGATACTCAGTGAAGTATAGCCAAGGATGTGGTTCGGTCCCTTAACTGCAGTTGTGGGTATTCATGTCTATCTCTGGCATGCTACTTTCATTGGGCAGTGGATGGAATTGGGCATTAGGCTTGTTAGACAACCTAGTACTGTTCCATTTCAAGGACAGTGTATCTTGGGCCACTCTTGCTTGTGCTAATTCTTCTGGTTTAAATATAATACATATGGGCAAGGTGCAAATAAAAACTAGGAAATATTAATTGCCCAGCTTCCTGGACACTGGCCAGGTAAAACACTGAGGAACCAAGATATGAATGCAATGCATATGTAGCCAGAGTTAATTCAGCAAGACCTTACTTGGCAAGCAAAGTGCTTCTTTTCATTTTGTAATGATTAACTTTTCTTCCATGTTAGTACCACGCAGAAACAATCAAGAATGTACGGCAAGCTACTGAGAGCTTTGCTTCTGATCCTATTTCATACAGACCGGTCGCTATTGCATTGGATACTAAGGGACCTGAAATTCGAACTGGACTCATCAAGGGTGTAAGTTGTGTTACATTATTTGGTCTTTCTCATCGTTGCACCTTGGGTCACTATTTCGAACTCATTCTCACTGTAAATCAGGAAGGGTCATCTGTACGAAATTATCCAATCCACCTAATAGTCGGTAAGGAAAGGGAGAGTTACAGGCTCAGGATCTTTGCCTGCCCTCACAGAATTTCATGCCTCCCTTTTCAAGTGCTGCGTGCCTTCTGATTTGTACACCGGTTGTCTAAAGTTGGGATCTTTAGTCAGTGGATCAGCACCCAGAAATGGGTTACAAGGCTGTGTTTAGGTGGGTTGTGGGCCTGGCTTGCTCTCCATGACAGCCTTCTCCGACACAATGAAAGTAAGCTTTTGCTTTTGTTTTTTGCATGACTTCACAAGTTGTCAGTATCAGTCCCATTATTGTTATCAGCATCAATTACATACTGCCTTTATCTGTTGAAAAGCAATTGTGGTGGTATATAGTAATTTAAAATGAAACTGGGCAACGATAAGCACAAGTGCTTTGAAAACACTAAACATAAAAACCTATGCATTTTAAAAGGCAAACCAGAGAAGGTGTATTGTTATGCCCCTGCCTAAAGGCTAAGAGTGGGGGCCAAATGCTTTGTTTGGAAGCAACACAGGAAGGCCCGTCACACATGACATGTGGACCTCTGCAAGTAGTGGTACCCTCAAAGGGCCTCCCCTGCTGTTCTTAGTAGATTGTCAGATGTAGCAAAAAGCTTTCAGGTTTAAGGCCAATACCTTAATTGAGACAAGAACGCAATCGGCAACCAATGCGGGTTTTTCAAGACAGGTGGTAACATGGGCCGGATATTATGTACTGGTTTGCAGCTTTGCTGCATTTTGTACCAGTTGAAGCTTCTGGGCAGTCCTCATGGGTAGGTCCAGATAAAACACATTGCTATACTCTAAATGTGATATAACAAAGGCATGAATAATCATTTTATTTGATTTATATCTATCTGTGAGGTAGGTTGGACTAAGCCTGACTGGCCGGAAGACACCCAGTTGGCTCCATGGCTGAGCCAGGGACTAGGATCCTGAGTCCCAGTCCTACACCACACTTGGCTATCTACATGTGAGGCTATAAAGTCAGATCAGTTCAGAAAGGGCTACAATTGGTGCAAGCATAACTTGAACATAGCTTATAGTATGGCATCTGGAGAGGTGTCCAGTGTACCATTTTGTTCAGCTCTATGGGATCAGGGGCAGTTTTTGAGGCCTCAGGGTGTAGGCAATGCATTTATAGCAGTTTGGTCCACAGCTTGGTCTACAACCTGCTCTCTCAACTTCTGTGCCTTCTAATTTATCCCAACTAGTGGGAGGCTTGGCTGAGTGATGCTTCCTGTCTTCACTCATGAAGAAACCCCCCAGCATCTAGAGGTTTATATTCATTACCATGCCACCACTAATGCCTCTTTTCTGGGTGTGCTGGCCGAGCACTTCTAGACATTCTTGTAAGAGATTGGTTATCTCTACCCATTTCTGTGTGTGTTCAGGGTTTTAGGATAGAAGGCCCTCTGCTGGGTGGCCAGAATGGTGCTGCTTTTACTTGTAAGGACAGTTGCAGAAAGCAGAATTGCAGGACTGTGCTTTGGATCCCTGGCAATTATGCTGCAGGATCCCAGGGTGCCATCTTGTCCCCAGGGCTGTTTAACGTCTACTGGAAAGTGGCCATTAGGAGATTTGGGGGCAAGGTGTTGTCCGTATGCTGAGAACACACACCTTTGATTATCTGAAGTGGGACAGGCCATACAGGTTTTGAAAGGTGCCTTAATGTGATGAAAGCCAAAAACTTGGCACAGAATCCAGACAAAATGGGTGATTAGTTTCCAAGTACAGAAATTGTGGAGGGGGGGGGGCTGTCCTAGATGGGGTTCGGTCCTTCAGCAAGAACAGATATGTCACTTGGGATTGCTGCAAGGCTTCATCACAGTCTTTAGAGGCCCTTGTGACTTCTGTGGTGTGGATTACATTTTGCCAACTCTGGCTTTTATTTCATCTACACCCTTTTCTGTTCAAGAAGCACCTGCTTATGGTAGTCCATGGTTAACTTCACATTTAGAACTTTTAATGCACTTCATGTGGAACTATCCTTGTGTGTCCAGAAGCTGTAGCTGGTGCACCCAGTGGGCTGGGTAGGGAGCCGGACTGAGAATCAATTGCGCTGGGGTTGAAGCAGCTGCAATACCTACCTACTTGTTAATTGAGATGAATATAAAGTCTTCATGTTGGCATATAAAGTCCCGAACAGCTTTGGAGCAGTTTACTTTGCAGGTTGCTTTCCCAATACAGACCTGTGATCACTGGAAAACGTTTTGCTGGTTATACTGTGACCTGCAGATCGCCATCTCATAGCAAACAAGGAGAGGGCCTTCTAGGTTACCCACCTTCTATAATGTTGATGCTGGACAAGCACCAACTGTGGTGTGCTTTAGGCACCCATTAAAGACCTATCTTTTTACCCAGGTGGTCCTTGAGTGTGCTACCCAACTCAGTTAATTGTAGTGTTGTGAGTATTGGTTAATGTTTTAATAATTATGTATTGTAATTGTATTTTAGTGCACATCACAGGGTAAATTAATCTCCCTGTAAACTGCTTAGATGCATTTTTTAAAATATGGTAAGCAGTATATAAATCTGTTTAATTATGTAAATGCACTCCTTGTCACCACCACCGGGGCAGCGGGATCAAGCAGCCCTCCCAAGTTATGGACCTGATGTGTCAGAGGGAACACAACTCTTTTCAGAACAGTGTGAATTCCAGGCCCCAAGTCAGACTTACTATTGACCAGCAACCTGACATACCTGTCTGGTTTTAATTTCAGCTTGTTTACTCTCATCCTTCCCATTACTGAACCCAGGCAATGTGCTCTCTTGGTGTTAGGTGACAAAGAGCAGCAAAGTTAGGTGTACCTTACTTCAAAGTTGTGTCTGCCTTAAACAGGGTTGTGCTTTCCCCATCCAGTTTCCCCCACAGGTCATTTACCAAGGTCATCAAAGCAGGTCCCAGTCCTGTATCCTGACTGAAAACCTGATACAAATGGCTCCAGATAATCTTGTCAGCTCTTCCAATCAATCTGTGTTCCGTTTTCCAGGAATGTGCAAAGAAACAGCAAACTAGTAGCCATTTCATGTTCCTCTTTGAGAGCAGGTTTTCTCCATCCAGGAGGAGCAGCAGCAGCTCTCCCAAGACGACAAGCAAATTAAAATTTATTTTTGTTGACCAAGTTGAGCAAGTTGACCAACAGTGTGACGAGAGTGTGAGTGAGTGTTTAAGAAGGGGGGGAAGTGTGTGTGTGTGACTGGATGGAGACTTCAGCTGACTTCTCTGCAGGCAGACAGTACAAACTTACTTTAACTGATCAAGCATGTGTGTGCGATTATTAGTGCCATCGACAAGTAAAGCTAAAGCAGCAGCCAGAAGGTAGGAATGTTGCATTCCTGTTTTTGTATATAAATATATGCCCTTTAGGTTGATGGGGGACGCTATTTAGGGTACAATCCTATACCAACTTATCTGGGTATAAGCACCATCGAATACAATATGACTTGCTTCTAAATAGGCATAGAATTTTGTTAATCTTTTTGTCCTTGAGCAATCCTAAGTAATCTTGTGTTTACACGTAAGCATGGATTTTTGGATGAGAATTTGTTGGCCAGACAATACCCTTAGTAATCCAGACCTCCTTACTTGTGAGTGGAATCACCAAGTATTGTGCTGCTTCTTGCTTTACCTTTGAAAAATCATGAGGGGGGTATCTTCAGAGATGCTCAGAGAAGGATGGATTTTGGTTGCTTTTCTGTGTGGCTATGAAGTGTCTCCTTTCACAATGGGTTGCTGTTGGGTTTCAAAGCTTGTTGTTGCTTTGAAGATATTCCTATTGTTAATATTATTACAACAACATGCAATGTGTGGATTTTGATTGGTCTCAGAACTTACTACTGGGTTTCAAAAACTGTTTTCTTGTTTGTCTTAGAATATTATCACCATCCTCTTCTTGTGAGGCTGTGTGAATTCCTCCTCTCCCCCCCACCCAATTTTGTGCACCTCAGTCACTGCATTTTCTCTCCAATGGGAGTTGCAGGCAGACCCAAATCAGTCAGTGGGGGTCCAGAGCAGTGTTTTTTGTGAGCCAAGTGGATTTCTCCAATTCCCCTTCACACCCATGCGATAGTGGGTAATATGTTGCAAGCTGGGAATCAGAGGTGGTTCTTGGGTTTGTGCAGGCACATTGCTAGTCTAAAGACCATCTATGCTCATTTTCAACTGGCAACAGATTAATATCAAACGGGAGGTTAAACAGTTGTATATTAGTGTTTCCAGTCTTCATAAGACATGATGCTATTAAGTAGCAGGATTAGGGGAATTGAGGCTTTTTTTTTCATTAGTTGGGAACTGTGCTACAAGGCAATGCCAGCAAAGATGGCCCTGCGGGAGATTCCATATCCTTGGGTAATGGCATTAATGTTTTGTTTTTGATGCATTTAGAGTGGTACTGCAGAAGTGGAGCTGAAGAAAGGTGCAACCCTAAAAGTGACCCTGGATGATGCCTTTATGGAAAAATGTGATGAGAACGTACTGTGGGTGGATTACAAGAATCTCACCAAAGTTGTAGATGTTGGCAGCAAAATCTATGTGGACGATGGTCTTATCTCTCTTCTTGTTAAGGAGAAAGGTATGCTCAGAAGTCATTCCAGATAATATGACCAGACTTTGAAAATGTATTTTTATCCCACCTTTCAGAATGTGGTGTCCTCACAAGACTTTTTACAATTTCTTAAATATGATTGTGATGCTAATATTTAAGCCACTTAAGCGATGGTGTGCTAGCATCATCTTTATGTTATTTTTCTCAGAAGACAGGAAAAATGTGGATATAACTGTAATGCAATAATTTCATTGTGGCATATTTAAAATCTGCTTATCCATACTAAAATCAGTAAAGTTGTGTGTAAATCTTGGACATGTTTCCAAGTAATGAAAAATGCCTAGTCTTCTGACAACCTGATGTGAAGTTAAAAGTGTGCTGCAAAACCATAGTACATCTGACCATATTAACAGTTGTGAAAACCAGTCACCTGCTGCTTTGTGGACAGATTCTGAAATGAAGTGAGATGGGCACAGATAATGGAGGATCATGCTTGAAGTGAAAGATTTATTGGGGACAAATGTCTAAGTGACTTGCTTAATCCTTTGCAGGTGCTAACTATGTCATCACTGAAATAGAAAATGGTGGAATGCTAGGTAGCAAGAAGGGTGTAAATCTGCCAGGAGCAGCAGTGGACCTTCCAGCTGTTTCTGAAAAGGACATCCAAGATTTAAAATTTGGTGTAGAGCAGGATGTGGACATGGTGTTTGCATCCTTCATCCGTAAAGCAGCTGATGTTCATGCTGTCAGGAAGGTGCTGGGTGACAAGGGAAAGAACATCAAGATCATTAGCAAGATTGAAAACCATGAAGGAGTACGCAGGTAAGCTGGTTGAAGCTTATAGTCATACTTGGTTCATTCATACTGAACTCACTCAGGAATTTTGAGTACTTCTAAAACCTAATCTGTGTGTTAGCTTGAACCTCCTACAATAGTTCTGTAGTCCATCCTTTCAAATGGCATAATGTGCAGTGAACTTCCCCTGTGGAAAGATGTAAATAGTGCAGTTGAATGCACAGCAGCCATTTTGTTTGGTCAGATAGTAACTGGAGAATTTCCCTTTTGGAGCTTTCTCATCACAATGGGGACATGGTCCTGCTCTTGACTGTTGAACGGAGAGCCTACACAAAAGGTGGTCAGTTGCTGATCTGGTCTCATCCATCTTAAGAATCTTGCTTTAAGTTTTGGCCTTCCATACTATTATGGGCATGATCCCTATAAATATAGATAATCAAAGGAATTTATACTCAGGTTTGATATCCTCTACCACCATCTTTCCAGTATCTTTTTCATGTGGAATATAATTATTTGTTCTTGTTTGATCTTCAGGTTTGATGAGATCATGGAGGCTAGCGATGGCATCATGGTAGCTCGTGGTGATCTTGGAATTGAGATTCCTGCTGAAAAAGTTTTCCTTGCCCAGAAAATGATGATTGGTCGATGCAACAAAGCTGGCAAGCCAATCACTTGTGCTACTCAGGTACATCCTGACCCTTGCGCCAGATCTTTTCTGTATATGAGGGCTATATGAATCCAGTATTTTGTTAAACTTTTAAATACTTTGCATCGCATCTTGTGCCATTGATGGAAAAGGATAAAAACAAGCAGACCTTACTAGGAAGTCTGAAATGCCGAGAAGGCCTTGACTAGAATCCTTGTGGGATTCTGGCAGTCTAAATACAAAGGTAGCTTACAGAAGACTTGAATTTTGAGAGAGGTTGCCCTGTATCCTGTCTGTCTTAGACAAATTAGTAGGAACACTATAAAAGAATGGTAAGGAAAACAGAAAAACATTGTTTACGATATGGTCTTGAGCAAGTTGAATGAGAATGTGGTGCTTCTGGACTGCTGTTAATAGCAATGATGCTCTTCATTAGTGGCACTCATCAGTAAGATATAATCTGGCATGTATACTCAATGTATGCATGAGTATATAACACTGTATAAATCATGTGGACATAATACATGTTCAGGAAGAGTTTGGAAGCTGAAATGAAAGCAAGAAAGAATAACCTACAAGGTCATGCTAATGTGTATTTCCTTGGAAGTAACTCCTACTGTGTTCAGTAGGACCTACTTCCCAGAAAATTTGCTTAAAATTGTTGCCCCAGTTATCACCTTGTAACATGCGTTCACTTCAAACTTTAAATTGTTTTAAGGTTAACATGGCTGCCTTACTAAGCAGAACAGTAGACGGAGCCTACCTTGGAAGTGAGGGAACAGCATGCCATGTGTATTGTTTTGGGTGTTGCAAGTGCATATACGTATCATCTGGTTTCTCTAGCAATTGAGCTGCTAACTTGCTAAACTTTTATCAGATGCTGGAGAGCATGATCAAGAAACCGCGTCCAACACGTGCGGAGGGGAGTGATGTCGCCAACGCTGTCCTGGATGGAGCTGACTGCATCATGCTGTCTGGAGAGACTGCCAAAGGAGACTACCCTCTGGAGGCTGTCCGAATGCAGCATCTCGTGAGTGATAGCCGTTTGGTCAAACTGCCCATGGGTGTATATGCAGAAACACTAGCATGCATCATGCACAGCCACCCAAGTTACCCCCCCCCCCCCCAGATCTAGTGGCTAACCAAAAGTATATGCAACAGCGGGCTGGCTCTTCACTATGGTTTGTACATAAGCCATACATCTCTCAGGCTGCCATAGACTTTTTTTGACAGGGAAGCCCTGAACACTTTCTTCTTGAATGTGTGAAATACTGCTTTTGCTAGTTTTCTAGCATGGCATTTAGTGTGAGGCTTTGCAATTCACCTGGAATAAGATTAGGAATGGGCTTGGGGTTCTGGATGTTTCTTTGTTTTACTTTGTATGGATAAAAAGTAAGCAGTTGGGTGGCCCTGTAATTTTGAAGTTCTGCATGTGATAAAGGGTGTAAGCCTGAAGCCTACTTGCAGACTCAGTGTTTGGGGCAAAGGTAATGTCTTTGCATTCCTACAAATTCACAGTGGTGGGGCTAGGCTGTGGCAATTTACCCTTTTATAACATTGTCTTTATGTTTACCAGTTGTGCCCTTGGACAGCGCTTCATTTTAAAAAGTGCATGACTGACCTTTTTTACACGTTTAAACTGCCAGAAAACTCTCTGCTCTGCTTTGGAATTCTTCAGTTTCTCATTGACAACATGGTACTGAGTACCAGAATTAAAGTAACTGGTTGTGTTGGCTGTCTGCTGTGAATTACAACAGCCTTGATAACATACTAGTTTGAGAGCTGCAGTCCAGGTTAGTTAGTTACTCAAAACAACTCGCACATAATAAGAAGTGTGTTTAACACTACCTTTTTGCTTGGACTCTGTTCCCTTTATAACTTTGCGCACACCATCAAACAGATGTGGAAACCAGTTCCTGTGAGCTAGTGGCAAACAAGCATGTTCGTGTGGCAATGAGGTTTGATTACTAAAAAATCTAAAGCTCCTTTTCACATTAAAGGATCGAATGGGCTAACTTCACTGGCCTTCAGTAACTTTCTACAGCACATCTTATATGCTTCAAGAAACTTTATGAGCAGACTGGCTGATATTTGCAGGTACTAGTTAATTTTTTTTTTTCTAACTGCCACAAAGACATTTTATATGAAAGCATCTTCAAGACTCAAAGTTCAACTTGGTTTTCCTATATAGTTTCCCTCAGTTTTTCCAAAGAAGAAAAATGAAATGTGAACTCAAAACATTGAAAAGGCAAGTTGGTAAAGACTGCCTCCCTGCTTTTGAAAACATGATTCATTTGAAAGGCCAAAATAGTAGGCTCAGTTACTTATTTTCAAATGTATATGCCACTGAATAGTCTCAGGCTCATCTAATTGCCAACAACAAATATGCATACAATAAATACTGCAAAAGATTTGGAAAACGTATTGCAATATTGTTAAAGTGCTTAAGCAAAACTCAGCCAGTACATGCTGGAATCTACTTTCTCTTGCACAGCTTTGGGGAGCGTCCACCTGAATTAATAAAAGCTGTTTGGCCTGTATGTTTTTGTATAGCCTAATTTTCTGCTAAAAACTCTGCAGTTTTAAACCATATTGATCAACTACTCTCCTGAATCTCCCATGTTGAATATGTAAGTAAACTGGCATAGCCTAACAGGTGCCCTTCCTGAAAATATTATATTTAAATCAGGAATTGGGGGAAGGAATCTCTAGCCTTCCTGTGTCAGAACAACTAGTAGTGCTTCACAACCTACTGTTAAGCCAAAGCCTTCTCTTTAGACCTTTATACCCTGCCATTTTTCTTATTTTGTTTTCTCTTTTCCTTTCCCCCCTACTTAAGCATGACTGAAGCCTAGTTCTTAAAGATGAGGTGGTATACCTGACTGGACCTAGATCCCTTTTCACCAACCTGCCAGTGTTGAATGTGGAGGGTTGTTTTCTTTATTTCTTCAGTCTGCTGCCTTATCTCTGAGGGCTAGGACTTTCTGATCTGCTGCTATAGCACAAAGTATTAGAAGAGTTTCAGTCACTCCTAAGTAACAACTCTGCACCGATGCAGCACTGAGCATTCTGTTGACTGAGCATCCACATAATGGTGTTTTTTTCCTGGCTTTGTACTATCCTGTTCACCTGCTACTCTTACATAAAATGGGCCTAGTCTTGCCTCTTGGGATAGAAGAGCAGAAAGAAACTACTTCTTGCACAAATGGTACTATGAAATTCACCTAATAAGTCATGCCATAAATAATATCAGATCTTACTTTGACTATCTACAATAATTTAGTAATTCTTGAATGGCTAGATCTCTCTGAATGCTTTTAAAATGCTTTGCTTAGTCTCTACTTTGGCTGGTAAGGCTTGCGTCAACTAAAATTTAACCCACCGTATGTGCTTGCTTGAAAATAAATCTTGCGTGCGTTGATTCTTAATCGAGTAAGTGCACTGAGGTTTCAATCCTAAGCATACTTACCAGAACAAAATTTGAAATGATCCCTGTGGAATGTAAGTCCAGTTTGGCGCATTGGACTCAAATAACTTTGGCTATTGGCAATATAAGTTGACTGCCTTGCTACTACTAGATTCTGTATACACGAGACTTGTACAGCCAAAGGAGAGAGACTATGCTTCCTATAAAAGGGTGGTGTGGTGCAATAAAGAATATGCTTGGAGTCTCCTTTAAAAGAGCAAGCCAGTGACATGTCTGAATAGAGAGCCGCCAGAAGTGCAGGCATGGGAATCTGGACTGATGCAGCAGAGTGGTGCCACCGCCTCTGCGCTTAGAGAATGCAAAGCTGCAGAGGCAGAGCCTGGAAACCACGGTCTCCTCAGCCTGACACTTGGCTCCACCTTGCTGGGCTCGGTAGAAAAAGTTGCAAGGAAGAGTGTCTATGGGTCATTTTCAAATGGGCCACTAGTGAGGTTGCATCTTAATCTGGGCATGATTCAAGTTTAATTTATGACCCTACCAATTACTTTAACTTGGAAACCCAGATAGTTGTGTTGCACCACTCCACCTTCAATCTCGCATGCAAGACTGACAAAGAATTAACTCTCCTTGCAAATTAACCATATCATATCACTCTGGTGTATCTCTTTCCTTCTTTCTATGTTGCTCCTTTTTTCCTCCCTCCCTCCCTCTTACTCTGGCCTACAGATTGCTCGCGAGGCTGAGGCTGCAATCTATCACCGTCAGCTGTTTGAAGAACTTTTCCGCCACACTGCTAACATCAGGGACCCTTCTGATGCCATGGCTGTAGGCGCTGTGGAGGCCTCTTTTAAGTGCTTAGCTGCAGCTGTGATAGTTTTGACAGAGTCTGGCAGGTAGGGCTCAGAGTTAGGCAGACAAGTAGGACTTGTACATTGATTTATAATTCCTTCAAAGGTTGCCTAGACATGGTCTAAAAAGCATTGCTTCAAGCTATAGTGGCTCCTATACATGGCAAACCTCTTCCTTATGCAGCACTCGTGTACAATAACACCATAAGTCTGCCTTCATCTTTCTAGCAAAGCAGGATTTGAGGTACGTAGAAGCAGAGCAAGAGTGACTGGCAGTTGCGCTTGGATGAATGCAGAGATAATTGGCAGAATGGAGTGGGGTGACTTGGCAGATGTTAACTTCCAGGCGGGAAGTGAGCGACTGCAGTCCAAACAGCAGCTGTAACGTTTGCGCTCGTTGAAGTGCATAAACCATATTCATGGCTGAAGTGGCGCCATCAGTTTTGCTACTAAACAGTTACTTGGGTTTGCTTCTGTTTTGGCTTAATTGGCTCAATTTTATGAATAGGCATTCTGCCAAGTGCGGCACCCCACCTTCACTCATGCCGCTTGTGGTGACTGATGCGAATGTTGTCTTCCGAATGCATGTTGATCTTATAGATTGCTCGCGAAGCAGAGGCAGCCATCTTTCACAGGCAATTATTTGAAGAGCTCCGACGGCTGGCCCCCCTGAATCGGGATCCTACTGAAGCTGCCGCTGTTGGCGCTGTCGAAGCTTCCTTCAAGTGCTGCAGTGGGGCCATTATCGTACTCACCAAATCTGGAAGGTAGGAGGTGAAAGATTCTGGCAGAAATCACTTGGACTGCAGTAATTCAGGTGGCCAGATAGCTGACACACTGCCAACTTCTGAATGTCTTTAAGTACAATCTGTGTAAAGGACAATGTACTGTTGCCTCTTATCTTTACCTGGTCCATAAGGTTAATTATTTGTGTATGCCATTTTATGCTATTTTTCTGGAGCAAGTCTCAAGATCGTTTACCGTAATTAGAACAATTGACCTAAGCCATCTAAATAAGCAAAATCCAAACTCCTTCCAATGTGGAAGTTGTTCAAAGCATGTGCAGCCAAGATCACAAAAGCTAGAATAGAAAACAAAGGCTATGAAACTTGAATATGGGCAAAGACCAATACAAACTAAAAATGGAAGCCAAAATGCTTGGCAAAAGTGAACTTTGCAGTGAAAAACTAAGTGAAAATGCAGTCCTTCCAAGATTTTGTTATTAGATGGCCTTCAAATAATCTCACAGAGAAACCAGGTGTTTGAGCAGCCCAAACACTTCTTGGGCAAGACTTTGGAAGACATTGACATCCAGTAAAGCTCATGTGAGTGGAGGCAAATCAAGAACATGCTGGGCCCAGTCTGTTCAGGGCACTAAATTAGTGGGCCACTTAAACTTATCAGCACTTATGCCCTTAAGTATGGCCCAACTCCTAGAGGGAAAAGCTGTGGGGAGAATGTGCCTACCCAGGCATAATGGGACTGAAGTTCAGGGCGCATCCTTAATGGGACCTGATCGAAAGGATTAGACTTGGCACTGTTAATATATTTGAATCGCAGACAAATTATTCTTGTCAGCTTGCATTGTGAATCAAAGGTTTGACCGTGACAAATTAATTTTTATCCTGCCTGTGAAGAATGGGCTTTTCAGTATCTCTGGAAGACTTAAAGTTCTTTGCCCTTAAGGTGTCCCTGAATCGCTAAGATAGCATGTTACAGAGTTTAAGCATATGTGCTAGTACTGCATAAGCAATTGTTTTGAAATGAAGTATGAGACTTCCATTTGAGTTTTCACTCTACTCAATGGGTGCTGGATGCTCTGTAACTTGTGTAGAGTTGTATATTCATTTTGGAGCTGTTCTGTGCATGTGTATTTGCCATTTATCAGCCCAATAATATGTTTGCAGTCTGAATCTAGAAGCAATGCAGAGTTCTCATACGAAGTTGTTTCTGTTGGACGGCCTTCCTCAACTTGATACATTCCAGATAGTTTGACTAAAACTTCCCATCAACCCTGGCCAGCATGGTTCACATCTGGAGAGGGAGCCAAACTGGGGAAGAGAGACGGATTGTGCAGAAACAAGGGGCTGTTCAGAAATATGTATATATAATTGGCTAAGCAAGTGAAAAAAAACAAAAAAACCAAATTGGTGAAGGAAGGTAATTGTAAGTGTACAAAAGGAGAAACGGAAGCAGTTTGCCACCAGTTGTAGAAGCTGTAGTAGAAGGCATTGCAGTGATTGTTAAAACTGCACAGAACGCTTCATGAAATTAGACTGGGTATAGTGCATACAAAATCTTGAGTTGAACCTTTCTGTTAATGTTTGCTTATAAAGGGTTCTCACCAGTTTTATGCTTAACTTTTCTGAAGAAATCTGAACTTTAAAAGTTTGATTTATTTCTGGATTCTGTTTCACAGACTAAATCATACTGTTGTGATATCTTTAAGCCAGGTTTGATGATACTGAAGTTCACATGAGCATATTTTGAATGTCTGGTTTTAGATAAAACAACAAATCATGAAGAATGATCTGTAGGAAAGTTCTGCTAAGGCTTTATACTTAATGTCCCGGTTAGTGCTGAAGGATCTCTTCTTAGGTAGAAATATCTATATGCAAATATTGTGGTTTGATGAAATTATAGCATGTGTATACTGATCTGAAGACCCTGCCTTCTGAGGAAGAGAAAAAGCAGTTATATTCTGCTGTTATTGGGTCCCAGAGTGTGGTATAGACTTCATTTCCTTTCTGGCCAGTTCAGAAATGTGTTGCTTGGTCCTTGTTCTATTTAGAGGTTTTTTGTTTGCCCATATTTTGGCAAATTACTGAGATGTTAATAGAAATTGGTGAACAAATGTATGTACCATTTCAGAAATGGTTGGAGATCTCATAGCCATGTTTTTAGGCCAAGTTTTATTTTAACCAAAATGTTCTGCTTTTCCTTTGTGGATAAGTCTGCCAGGAATGCACTTTGAAATACTCAAAAATAGAATCTGATATGGATAGTCACAGTCCTGACTGAGTTATTTTTGTCACCAGTCTTGAAGTGTTCGCTAAGTCAAATATACCCTCTTTCTGTGCTTGCGTTGCCATCTGTCATTCAGGAGAGAATCAAGCAGAAGCCCACTTGCCAGAATGGCCGGCAATTTTGGCCAGCTATTTTGGTCCTGCTTGCTAGCAAATTCCACCATGCATTTGTGATCCTCTGGCTCAGCCTTCCCCTACCTGGTGGCCTTCAGAGGCATTTTGACCAAAACTCCCAGAATTCCCATCCAAGCAGGACCATTGACTAGGTAGTCTGGGTTTTGTAGTCCAAAGGTGTCTGGAAGGCATGCAGTTGAGGGAGGCTGATCTGGCTTCCTCATCATAGAACCATACAGTGCAGGGGATGACACTTGAGCCCTCATAAATACAGACCTCTGCTATGGGAGGAGTATCAGTGTAAGAACAAAAGATAGGTTACTCTTGGAAGAGCTGTAACTATTGGTTAATGCTGCAGCTCCTTGAAACTCAGACCACGTCATACCAGGACTTTGCACATTCTCTGTATTCCTTATTATAAAGCAAAATTGCTACCATAGGACCTGAATGTTAAACGTACAGGCACTTGGCATAAGAAGTCTGCTCAGGAGCTCTTCTCCAGTACTTGAGATTCATTGTGCATTCTTGAAGCATCCCACCTCGGCTAGTCGGATAAGGCGCTGATCTGACGACATGCTTCTCTTTCTAGGTCTGCTCATCTGGTGTCAAGGTACCGCCCACGTGCTCCCATCATTGCTGTGACCCGGAATGCTCAGACAGCACGCCAGGCCCATCTTTACCGCGGCATCTTCCCTGTGCTGTGCACTAAGCCAACCCACGAGTCCTGGGCTGAAGATGTTGACCTCCGAGTCAATGTGGGCATGGATGTTGGTATGTCGTAATCTTTGGCTCTGCTTTTCTGTCCTTTAGCTAACTGGGAGCACTGTTGAATGCCCACCCTTTCTTCTAGCTAGCAAGAACTACAAGGACTAGCAACATCGTACAGCTGGAATTTGGCATCTCAGCCTTTAGGGTTTAAGAACAAAGAGGTCAAATTACAGGCCCTGTGGTAGAGTTTGTGTTATCAGCAGAGCAAATGTCTTTAAACTTTTCTCATGGATTTTTTTCCTCTTTTCAGGTAAAGCCCGTGGATTTTTCAAGACTGGTGATCTGGTCATAGTACTTACAGGATGGCGTCCTGGCTCCGGTTACACCAACACCATGCGTGTGGTGCCAGTTCCATAAAAACAAACCCAGAAACCTCATCCCTCTCCTCCTGTCTCGCCGCCACCTTCTTGCATTAGACCAGCAATTGCTTGCAATATTGTCCTTGTCTGTAGAGTGGATAGAGGCTGCCAACAACCACCAAGTGCAGTAACTGGGGGAAGAGAGACTAAGTCTAGAAATACTTGAACTAGCAAAGCCCCTCCTGTTTCTTTCTTTCCCTGCCTTACTTGTTCAGAGCCAGCATTGGGTGGTCTAGCATGGCACCCAGGGCTTCCCTGCACTTCTGCTGTGGGTCTCATAGTGTAGAGAAGCAGGGGCGTCCTTGTCTGTGCGACTGGTAGGGCACTCTGTGCAATGGCTTGATGGCGTGCCTGCCACACTCCCTTCTTCTGCCCCAGATCTGTTCTGTTGGTCTCCACAGTCAGGCCCGCACCCACACACTCCAGTTCAGAGCAATGTTAGACCACAGCTCCCTAGGTCTTGCGGCATTTCGTGAGTCTTGCTGTGTTCCTGGTAAATGGGTTCTTGGAGCACTGTAACCTAAACTTCCTGACACAAATCACTTGGCTGTCTAAAAATACACTCCAGTAGGTGGTGATAGAAGGCAACACATGCTTATTCTCTGAAGTTCCAGAAAACCACTCCTTAAACTTGTCGCTGTACCTCATTGCCAGTATAGTTAGAGTAATGGGTGCTTTTGTTACAAGAGTCTATTCCGGGTACAGATGGCTTCAGGATGGATATTGTGGAAAAGAATTAAATGAGGCAACAGAACTTGTGTATGGAACTTAAAGCGCCGAGTAGTGCTGTCGGAATTGTTCCACCTGATGCAGTCCCACATCTTAAGCTGCTAAGAAATGCTAATATGCCTGTTGCAGTGTTGTGTTTTGTGTTTAATGTTTCCCGAGAGTACTGTCCTCTGTAGATCTGGATAAGTGACCTACTGTAACAGGTTATCAGGTTGCAGCATAGAACTTTGTACATCAATAAAGCAGAGCTCACACACCTACCCTGTTCTGTTGTTTTTTTTTTTTTTTTTTTCTGGTTTATGATGACAATACCTCCTTCCTGGCTTATGTGAAAAAAAACCCCATGAATGGGTTGTATGTCTGGAGTTCTGCCAGTGGTTTCAGACCACAAAATGACCTTGGGGGTGTGAAGCAAAGTAGCTGCTATGGGTAGGTTTACTGCATGTGTGATGAAGTTAAAGTATTTCCTGTAAAGGCTTGATAAGAGTTAAACCATTAACTCCCCCTGCTTGAGAGGTCTTTGGTTACTTTGAAATGAAACTCCTATGACTAGGCAGTAACAATGGAAACTAAGCTTGATATTCTTGTCCTTCCTTTTTAGATGTACAATTGCTAAATACTGCAGTGCAGGGTTTTTTGTTTGTGTTTTGTGTTTTGTTTTTGGTTTTTTTTTTGGTTTTTTTGTTTGTTTGTTTTTTGCAGCAGTTGCTGGGTACATGTGCATAAACAGCAAAGTGGTACAAAAAGCTGGAGTTTTAACTTTTAGAATAATCTCTGAATATTTCCCGTAGACACACAAAGTTAGCATGCCTCTAGAAGTATATTCCCTGTGCATTTTCTGCTTTGTAATGTCCTGCCACTTAAATGGTGGTTTTGAAACAGCTGGGGATGAGTATGGGACCAGAGGGGAAAGAGCCTTGTTTTCTGTCTTTTCTGTCATGGTAATTCCGGTTATTCCTTATTATACAGCTGAGTTTTAGATCAGCATGCATGCTGAGCAAAATTTCAGTTTTATCCTTCATTGTACTGGAGCTAATTTTCACTGCCGGGAAGGCGAATAAAGGAAGATTGTATGAGCTGTCACATGGAAGAAAAAATATAGAGCATTTTGGGATTGTATGTAAAACAGTCCCTGCTTTGTTCATCACAGAGGACATCAGAGGTTAAACCCAAAGGTGTGAAGAAGTGCAGTTAAACCTAGCAGTTCTCCAGCAATACAGCTGGCACAGATCTTAAGCTGTTGGGAAACTGCTGCACTTCCCAGTTCTTCCACCAGAGGGGAAGCTGTCTTCACTTTTTATAATAATGAAATGAAATGCTCCAGCCAATTCTAAAATAACTTGCTCAGTTTTATTACATGGCTGTTGTGGTTGCTGTGAGCCAGGGATGGGACAATTTTCCTGTATTTCATTAAGATCTTTGGAGAGAATTTTCAGGAAGAAAAAATGCACAGTTGATTTTAATTTATTTGGAGAGGGAAGCAGATGCAATGGAAACAAGTATAATCGAACTTGAAAATGGTATGTGCTGATTAGTGTGTGGGAGCCAGTGGTGCAGGTCCACCTGGAGCTCATCAACTGTCCTCCTGGAGCATGGATGAATAGCGCATCCTCCAGGGCACCAGTTGTTTGAGTCCGTTAAATCAAATTTAGAGAGGAGGAACAGCCTGTCCACTGGACCTGGGAATAAGCATTACGAAGGCACATTCACTCCATGTGATCATGCAGTAGAGGCACCCTGAGAGCAGAGGTCTTGTAGCCTAGCAAGTAAATGATCCAAATACACCAGAAATTCACAAGAGTGACGAGAAAAACCAGGGAAAGCAGGTTTGCTGGGCGTATACTACCAAGTGTATTAAGATAGGAAATACATGTTGCATGTAGGCACCCTGAACAGACTAGCAAATGAAAGTCAGCAAGATGCTTTTATCTATCCGTTACATAGGGTAGAGTAGAGTGGGGGGTCAATGCAGTTTGCTAGAGGCACATACGAATAAAAAGGGTTGAATGTGACTAGGACAACAAAATTCAAAAAGAACCTTGAGGACAAAAACAGCATTTCTAGGAATGTATCTGAGCAATACAGGCAAACAGCTACTCTTAAGGTGTATGTGGGAGTTCCAAGTTGAACATGTAAAATAAAGCTACCCCTGTATCTTGGAAGCAGAGTCCCCATTCACTCAGCATGCTATTCCACATCTGCATTGCAGGGCTAGTCTTCTGTAGGGTGTGAAAAAGCATAGGATGCAAGTTAGATGCACCGTCAGAAACCACCCCATGCATTATTCCCAGATACTCTTCATAGCCATGTACATGGTTGTCTCTTCCCCCTCCCTCCCCAACCCATTCTTCTGGAAATATTGCTCTTTATTACCAAAGCACAAATTTGATCAGCTTTTCCTTGTTTTGGATGACAGCAAAGGAGGGATGCTTTAAGAGGAAACATGCTTATGGGAAGTTCTGGCAAGGATTTGGGCTGGCTCAGTATCCTGAGGTCTGTAGTACATCAACTCTGCAAGAAGCTGGACGACCATGGAGATAACACCTGCTCTTGCAGGAACTTCCCTGGGGACCTCTTAATGAGAAAGATGCCTGCTTTACAGCTTCTGGCAGTGCTGTAGGCTGATCTTGAACAGGCAGTGATCTCACTCGGGCCTGGAGGAGTGGGCAGAGAGAACTTGTTGGGCTGCTAGGCCGGATCAAGGGAGTGTGTGTACACAGAGAATTTACCATCGAGCACCAGTGTGTTCGATGTGGAGCAAACTGCAATTCATGTAGCCCAGCCTGTATTTGATGCAACAGGAAGATAAGTAGCTATGTTTGGGATAGCTTTTGGAATGAGTGGGACTTCGTTAGATCCAGGTAGCACTAGCTGCCCCCCTCCCTCCCCAATCTTTCTCTCCTTTGTCTACAATAGACCCTCTGTGGACTGACTACAGGCTGTAAATATCAGCAGAGGCAGATTCTTGGCAAAAACCCCACATTCTCTACCATTGTCACAAGATAAGCCAGATCTGAATGGAGGGTTCAGTTGCCTATTGTCCATACTTGGCTTTGGCTGAATAAAAAAACTGCTAAGAAAATCAAGTACTCAGATTTGGTATTGTTATTGCCACATGCTAATTCATTCCATGTAGGAACTCAACTTGCATGATACCTGCAATTACCTAGCAATATGCTTCTGAGAAGCATAGATACTGTAGCAACACCCATTTAAAGATCTTACAGCTGATAAATTAGATAATAGATTATAGCTGTTAATCCACATATGAATAAAATGATACCAGAGGAAAAGGCCCACCTGTCTTATTTTTAAAGATGTTTGTCCACATGAAGCAGTAAGTGCTGTATTTTATATGAAGGATTCCTGGTGCTCTTCCCAGCGCTTACCAGTTACTGTTAGTGAATGTTTTAAAGATTAAACTATTCACCTTTGGAAAGAGTGCATTTAATTAAGGGGAAGCATGGTTCTAGTCAATCACACAGAGTTTTTTGGTTGATTGACCTAATCCATTAACAGCTTTACGGCCTTACTAGGGTGCTCCTTCTGTCACAATCCTTTAAGCCCTGACATGGACTAAAATGGTAAAACACATCTGCAGGAGAGGGAGAACATTGCTCTGTAGTGCAGCATGTCCTACAAGCAGAAGGTCCCATGTTCCTTCCTACTGAGGCTGGGAAGCACCTCTGTCTGATTGCTGGAGAGCAGCCTTCTGCAAACCAGTCCCTTCCAGAGGTGCCAGCCAGCATGGGCATTTATGCTGCAGCTAACAGACACTCCTCTAAGAACAGACAGAGGTACTTTGGTCTATGATGCACTTCCTATTTCGCCGGTATTGCCTGTTTGAACTGTGTGGTGTGCCTGTCCAGAATGGGGCAGTAGGCCTCTGTGCACTGGTTGCTAGGGAACAAGACAGGAGGACATGGTTGCACTCCTGTCTGGCTTGCGGGTTTCCTGGCGGCGGCTGGTTGGCCACAATGTGAACCAAATGCTGGACTGGTTAGTCTCTTGCTGTGATCCAGCAGTGCTCTTCTCATGTTCCTGTCTCTACATTCCCTTTGATGTTCAAAGAGGCAATTAGATTTCATTGGAAGTGGAATCTCTCCACTTTGGAAACATTGGGCAATTCTACTACCAACAATAACCTTCCTATTTATATTACCCACTGCATTTGGATTTAAAATATATATGGGGTACTATTCTGCCACATTAGCAAATATGTGGAACTATTCTAACCACATGAGTGGTTAGCAAAACTGTAGAACTTGCTACCATAAAGTGTATCAGTAGCTCCCAATTTAGCTGTAAAGGGGGATTAGACAAACTCGTGAAGGTGAAGGTGGTGGTTGTTATTTGCTGCTTAGAGATTCCTATTGGAATAGTTAGCAGCATGCAAGTATAAACACATACATTTCTCTACTGTCTATAGCCAAAGCTATGGCTGATGGTGATAGGCAGCCACTGGGCAGCAACAGTGGAAGAGTCGTCTACTTCTACATCACCATTTCATTCAGTGGCCAGCCAGACACTTATGTGAAGGTCACAAGCCAGCACATGAAGGCTTCCTTCCTCCCCAGTGGTTGGTACTCAAAGGTACACTGCCTCTAAACATGGAGACTCAGTGGCCAACAGCTATTGATGGACTTATCCACCTTGAATTCAAATAATCCCGTTAAAGACCTCTAAAACCAGTGGCAGCCCGCACCTTTTGCATCAGTGATGTCCATCAACATATTGCATATACTGAAGTCCTTCTGTCCTGACAACACTTTTGTCCAGAGCTCTCAACTAGGCCTCTTTGAGATAAAACTTGTGGTCTGATCCAGCAGGGCTCTGAGCGTGTCTCAAAGTCCTGACTGTGTGAAGGGACACCTTCCAGGAATCTTCCTTCTCCTCTAGGATGTCTTTGATGGAGCTGGCAGTATTTCAGTGCCTCGGTTCATGTGCCCAGTTTGTGCCACATGTTGTTGTGGAAGTTCATTTCCGTAGCAGATGCCCAAAAGGTTGGTGCTTGTTTATATTTAAGGAATGGGAATAAATGACATAATAACAGGGCGAGGGAGCAAGAATGCTGCTCCACCCAAGGCTGGCTTTGTAGGAGTTTTGAGCCAGGGTATCAGCTAATACTCATTCCCACTTCTAGGGTAACAAAGCAGTCATGCTAAGCATGAGTGCGTGCATGTGTGCGAGCATTTGTGTGTGAGAGTTATCTGTCCAAACTGGGGAGAGGACACTATTGGCTCTTCCTTTGAATGGAATC